TGCTTCCACAGTCACTTTTAACAAAGATTAGGTTAAACATCTAACACAATGATATACAACTGTTTTTGCTGTGATATAGCAGAATGCTGGCCAACAAGGTTTTTGCGGTGATGCATAATAGCACTTTATGATACTTGCAAAGTCTGACACAGGGCTTCTAGAACTGGTTAACATGGCCTCTAATTTTGGTTCAGTCCATGTCCAGATCTACATCCAGGTTATATTAGTTAATTCATGGTTGGAACATTTTTTTCAAGCATGGCTTTATTCAAGTTTAAAAGAGTACATACAGTACATAAATACTATTTAAATTAATGGAGGATGGGGGAATGGAAAGAGAGGCAGAAAAATGGTGAACTCAGAGAAAAATGACTTAGATACTAAGAGATTAATATACAATGTTTCATACTCTTCCTCTAGACCTGACTGGGTTTTTGGCAATGATTTCCTGAGAAGCTGCTAAAGGTCTACTAAGCTGGTATAAAATATCTGAACAGAAATGCTGAGATTTTTATAGTCATGTATGATCTATTTTTAAAAAAGCCATTGACATTTGTATTGTCCTCATGAGCCATTCTGGTGTGTAGAGCTTATATGGTAGAAGATTAATGAATGAATCTGAAAATCTTTGAGAATATGACTGATTGATTATTATAGTGCTCATCTCACCTACATGACTAGCAAGTTTGCAATAAATAAAATACATAATACAATTTTTTTTAAAGCAGATAACAGTCGGGCATCATCCAGCCAATGTACCTAATAAAGTGTTCATCTATTTGTTTAAAGAAAGAACATTCAGGAAAAAGATTCTGGAAAAAAATATTAACAAATTTTTTCCCCCCATTCCTCTGTTGAATATTCAAAAAGTAGAAAACTACTAGTCAAAAATAGGATTTTGACCTACCATAAATACTGTATCTTCCTAGTGGACCAATGTTACACATCAAGGCCTTGAAAATGAAATGTCCTATTCGCCATATTGTCATCATGAGGAACTTTATTTTTTTGCTCCTGCTCTTACATTAGGAAAATCCCAATACACAGTACAGGTTTATCATATGTAGGAATGTTTCTTACTTTGAAAATTGCTCAGCTTCATAAAATAAATATTATACTGTATTTCTGGATCTTAAAAGATTTTCCTGCCTGCATACATACCCACTTTCTTTTTGTTGCACATGTGCCAAACATAAAGGCCCCCCATTCTTTTTGTCAAGGAACCTGGAAATTTTTATTTCCCAACCCTTTCTACCACTGTATGAAATAAATCTTGAGGTCCTCCCGTGCTTTGCCTTTAACCATTAGGTATCTTTCTCTTCCAGAGAATGTTATGTCCATGTTTCTTTGGTTGATTCTTAGTGGCAGGCATTATATGGTAGTTTGATCACTCCTCTATGAAGTTCTATAGAGTTTTCAGTCCAATTAATAAGATCACCACCAATGGAGCTACTGCAGGTTGCCATCTTGTAAATTTCAGCAGGTGTCACAATATAGCTCCACATGTTGAAATCTGACATTTCCCCAATGAACGCTTGAGTGGCATCAAAGCGGCCACCAAGGGTGTCCTGTAGAGGAAGAGTGCAATAAATATGTATTCAGAAGAAACATGCACGATAATGACAGTACATAAAGTGAGAGGCCTATTTACCTGCTCCTGGCCTAGTATGAAAACACCGCCGGGTTTCACAGGATGCCAAGGAGCCAGATTCTCCCCATTCCCTGTTTGGACACCATCCTGGTAAGATTTCCAGATGCCATGCCGAGTGGACCATGTCACACAGATGTGGTGCCATTTGGCATCATTAACAGCCAATGGCAAGGTGGCAACCTGCAAAGCAAGGACTGAAAAGTTTTAACTAAAAGTGGAAATGAGCAAACCTAGAAGTTATAAACATGGCAAGGTACTGAACACCTTAAAATATATCTCTGCTGCACAAACAATTATGAGTTATTTCTCCTACCTTATCATTGATGAGCAACTCCATGGGGTTATTTCCCCATTGAATAAGCACCACTTCATTGGCTTGGCTGGGCACTGAGTAGGAGAAAGGTGTGCCTATCCCTGGAGATGAAGTTGACTTGAGCCAGAGACAGATGGAAAAGGCAAAGATTTCATGTTGCAGAGTGTGCTTGATCTTGATATACATGTAGTTTGTGCGAAGGGGGAAATCCACATGAAAATGTTCGGAATGCTTATCTGCCTTGTTCCCTGGAGAACAGAAGAAAGCAGAAATGTGGCACTGCGCTGCAACGCAGGGAAATGGACTAGCCATATACTGCCAGCTGACATGCTGACCTATTACGAATTGATTCTCCAGGCTTGTTATGCTCTTTCCATTAATGGAATCTCATGACCACTATCAACCAGGCCAAGGTTCATGAACTTTACCAAATTTTCATTCTTTGGTTATCTTGCTTCCATTTCATTCTCTCTGACACCTTTCTTGATTTAGATTTGGTAACATAAGGATCATAAAGGAGAGCTCTCTATTCTTTATAAAACACCATTGGCACTACATAAAAATGGTAACCATCTCATGTTGAGCTGTCAAAATGCTGTCATGCAGTTTCTATCACTATTTAAGCTCATCTCTGCTCCACATCAAACACATGTGGCTGGTTTTATGACTAAACTATATTTTCAGTCAACATTCCCCCTTTTTTTTCATTCTGTCCATTGGTCGGTCTCTCCAGTATTATCCTACTGGAAAGACCGACCAATGAGATATTTGAAATATTCTTCAAACTATCATTCTCTTTTAACCATATTGGTGCCCATCTCTTTTCCTGCTGATTATGTGATTATATGCTACTCAGATTCTTCAGAAATGCAGAAGCAAATAAAATAAATATTATTAAATGATTAAAACCAAGTATTTGAATCTACATTTCTCATCCACTTAAATATTCATTAACATATTTACCTAAACCTCTTATTTAATAGGTTTTTTTTTAAAAAAAATCAGAGTTAAATTAATATAACCTACATACCTCTTGAAGTTCTGGGCTTAACATTTGTCATAATCCTTTGCCATTGGCTGTTAATTGGGTCTGAGGAGAATTAAAATCTAAAATGGGTTAGAGTGGGACTACTTATATTCAAATTTCAGCATGACTAGGAAAATGCTTTGAGCCAGTCACTGTCTCTCAGCTTTAGCTATCTCATCAAACCAGTTGTGAAGACAAGGAAAGCTTTTTGAGAGAAAATGAGATAGAAAAAGCAGTAGGCAAATGTTAAATCACTGAAGTTCCCCATTTGCCTCAGATCTGATTAGATCCTGCTGTCAGCCTTCTCCAACCTGGCACCGTATCCTACTAATCAGGCAGTATGATCCAAAATCTAATGTTTAGGAATTTGCGAATTATAGTCTCTGATATCTGGAAGGCATCACTAAGAAAAACTATTTCTCATTTCTCCACAAACTTGGCAACAGCCACCTGGCTTCTTAATTGTCCATTTACTTGTCATTAAA